AGCTGGGAATTCAGTCCCGTCCGGCCCAACATGAGCTCTACCTCCCGGTGGGCCCCTGACGCAGGCAGGACGGGTGAGCTTGGCCCTCGACGTTGTGCCACCTGGAGAAGCGGTCGGCAGGCCGTCCCTGCCCTCACCCAAGTGATCGGCGGTCTTGCTGGGGAAATTTGGCTGCTGCCAAGAAAATGAGACAGGGGTCTAGCAGTTTTCCAGGGCCGTCAGTTAGTGATGTGAATAAATCAGACTCCAAATTATCTTTCTTTCCCACTAAAGTGGCTTAGTAATTGTATCGACCCTTCATTCATTATCCTGTAAGAATTGGGAGACTCGAGTCGAGAGTCCAGGTCCGCTAATAAGTGGTCAGGTGTTTCTCCGAGTTTGAGGAGCATACAGATATCTAGGGATGTTCTTCAGATAAAAATTTTTATTCCAAAGGTCTGAGGTGGGGCCCGAGCTTCTGAATTTCTTAGCAGCCTCCGGGTATCTCAGAGCTGCTGGTCCAGGGACCAGACTTGGAGAAAGAAGCAGAAAACCCTGGCTAATAACAATACACACGAGCCTTGGGCAGGTGCCGCCCTTTGCAGCTTTCAAAGCACCTGTTGGCACCTTAAATTGTTTAACTCCCTACAGTGACCCGAGGCCTCGCTTATTGGTGGGGAAACCGAGGTTGAGAAAACTTAGAATTTCCCCTCATTCACCATCTAGTTGGAATTTAGGGCCCCGCCTCTGGCGCTCAGACGGTGTCGGCTGGAACAGACGGGCTGAGGCTGTCTCCCCGGTTTTCCGCACTAATCTCGAGAACAGTTCCCAAAATGGTTTGTCGGCGGCGGAGCGGAGTCCAGGACCTGTGGCCATGTACACATCTCTCCTCCAAGAAAATCGCTTGCCAGGCTTCTTGGAGGCTGATGACAATGTGCTTTACTCCCTCCCCCCTCAGAAGTCAGATGGTATTGGAGCCAGTCACTGGGTACTTTGGAAGGTGTTTCTAACCACCTACGAGCTGCGCCAGCCTCGGGAAGCAGTGTCACGGGGCCGCCGCAAACAGAAGGATCCCTCCGAGGACCTGTCGCCACGTGGACAGCTGGGGGGCGAGGAACTCGGCCGCCGTCCGGGAAATGGCCCCGGTTCGGTTGATGAACTTGACAGCTCAGACTTCCTCTCAGAGCTCAGACTTCGCCCTCACGGCCGTTTCTGAAGGGACAGAGCACGTGCAGGTCCCCCGGGGCGGGGGCAGCGAGCACTGACTTCAGCAGTCCTTTCCTGAGCCTGATAGAAATGCTTAAAACTCACACACAGTTTCAACTGAGTTGTGTTTTCCTTGGTCAGCAATATGAAAGAAGACCTGAAATCTAACTGAGCAGCTTGCTGTGTCCCTTGTTTGCTCGTTGAAAGGTAATGGTTAACCCATCAACCCCCTTTGCAGGTTTTCTGAGCTGTTTGTTAAAGGGAAGCGTCCCCTAGGACTCTGACAGATGGGGACTCTGTCCCCGTCGCCCGGGGCTTCCGTGCGGAACTTGCTCCGAAAACCACAGGTCCCATTTGGGGGTAACCCTCCTGCAGGGTGACGGGATATTGCGCAGTTGGCGGTTTCTGTCACCTGTCACCCAGGCCCCCGAGAGAGAAGATCATCAGCATTTTTAAAGGCCCGGTTTCCCCCCACTGGCTGTGATTTATGGGACTGACAAGGCCAGCTCCTCCGTGTCAGCAGCCAGGGCCTCTGACGAAGAAAGAGGTTCAGTCTGTCCCATAATTCCAGGCACACCCCTGTCCTCCGCGGACCTGACATCTCCAGCGACGGGGGGCTGCGCGTCTCGCCACAGTAGGTGATTTACCGTGTTGTGAATTAGACGACCTCTCCTCGTGTGGGGAGAACCGTCAGTGATTTAGAAAAAGCCTTCAGGTAGGTCAGGGCTCACCTGCTCCGAGCCAGGAGCCGATTTACATTTCCAGTTCTTTTTATCTCCCTCAATCACTGTTCACGAGCATCAGGAGCCGAAGTTCAGCATCAGGCTCGCGGCTGCGGGCCGCCCAGTGTCTGAAACGGGGAAACTGAGATGAGTGGAAACTTCAAAACCTCGTCAAGGAACAGACAGGAAAATAAAACTCTCCCGG